TCACCTTAATGGGGTACCAACTGAGGTGCTACTGGACAGTGGTGCTCAGGTCACGATAATGGCAAAGTCGTGGCTAGAGAAGCACCTACCAGACACAAAAGTCAGGTCGCTTGAAGAGTTTTTGCCAAATGATCCACTCAGAATAACAGCAGCTAATGGGACGGATGTCCCCTTTGAGGGTTGGGCTGAGGTACTTGTGGAAATCAGAAGTGAAAAACATGGCCATATAGCCATACATGTACCCATGCTAGTGAGTCAGAGCTGTGTGAATGGTCTGTTATTAGGTTTCAATGTGATAGAAGAGCTCATCCTTGAAAGTCTGGAAAGATCAGGGAGTGTCATGTTAAGTGATTTGCTAGCAGAGGCATTAAAACTCCATCGAGATACTGCTGAAACAATTGTTTCTGTTGTCAGCGAAACCCCAACAGGCCAACAAACTAGGAATGAGATGATCAGATTAGGAAAGAGAGGTCTCACAGTTCCTAGTGGCCAAATATGTCAAGTGAAATGCCACATCAGGGGTTGGCCTGAGGAGGGGACAATGTTATTTGAACCAGCATTAAAAGGAGATGTCCCAGATGGACTGGATTTATTTCCTGCTTTAGTTAATGTGCCTCCTGGTGCATCTAAGACTGTAAAAATCCCAGTCTGCAATTCAACCAAACATGATATCTTCTTGCCACCAAGGATGGCCTTGGGCTGCAGAGAAGGAATCATAGACAGCAGGCCAATAGATTTTGGTCCCCCTTATCAGCAGTCAGGGCAGTCAAGTACTGATACATATATACGTACCACGCAGGGTAGCCAAGCCAGTCACAACAGTATCCCAGAGACTTATACATCAAAAAAATGGCATCCTCCTGTTAACTTAGAGCATCTTGATCAGCAGCAGCAGGAAGTTGTGCGTCAGATGCTCTTTGAGGAATCTGATGTGTTTGCTAGAGGGGAGGGAGACATAGGTTGCATACCCAACTTGCAGCTGAAGATTAATGTAACCGACAACAATCCAGTACAAAAGTGCTATAACTCTATCCCTAAGCCTTTGTACCAGGAGGTTAAAGACTATGTAAAGAATCTCCTAG